GTATAATTAATCAAATATAATGAATATTAATTTATAAAATTTTATTAGTATTTTGATTATTATTTTCCAGATAATTACTTATAAATAATAGATGACAAAGTATAAATTATTTGATTATTATTTTCCAAAAATTAATTAAAATAATGCTTAGAAAAGTATAATATTATATTATTATTAAAATTATTACTTTTTAGTATAATTAATCAAATATAATGAATATTAATTTATAAAATTTTATTAGTATTTTGATTATTATTTTCCAGATTATTACTTATAAATAATAGATGACAAAATATAAATTATTTGATTATTTTTTCCCAAAAATTAATTAAAATAATCTTTAAAAAGTATAACATATATTATTATTAAAATTATTACTTTTTAGTATAATTAATCAAATATAATGAATGATAATTTATAAAATTTTATTAGTATTTTGATTATTATTTTCCAGATAATTATTTATAAATAATAGATTATTATTAAAATTATTACTTTTTAGTATAATCAATCAATTTAATGAATATTAATTTATAAAATTTTATTAGTATTTTGATTATTATTTTTCAAATAATAACTTATAAATAATAAATGACATAGTATAAAATTATTTGATTATTATTTTCTAAAATTAATTAAAATAATGCTTGAAAAAGTATAACATATATTATTATTAAAATTATTACTTTTTAGTATAATTAATCAAATATAATGAATATTATTTTATAAAATTTTATTAGTATTTTGATTATAATTTTTCAAATAATAACTTATAAATAATAAATGACATAGTATAAAATTATTTGATTATTATTTTCCTAAATTAATTAAAATAATGCTTGAAAAAGTATAACATATATTATTATTAAAATTATTACTTTTTAGTATAATTAATCAAATATAATGAATATTAATTTATAAAATTTTATTAGTATTTTGATTATTATTTTCCAGATAATTATTTATAAATAATAGATGACATAGTATAAAATCTTTTGATTATTATTTCCAAAAATTAATTAAAATAATGCTTGAAAAAGTATAACATATATTATTATTAAAATTATTACTTTTTAGTATAATTAATCAAATATAATGAATATTATTTTATAAAATTTTATTAGTATTTTGATTATTATTTTTCAAATAATAACTTATAAATAATAAATGACATAGTATAAAATTATTTGATTATTATTTTCTAAAATTAATTAAAATAATGCTTGAAAAAGTATAACATATACTATTATTAAAATTATTACTTTTTAGTATAATTAATCAAATATAATGAATATTATTTTATAAAATTTTATTAGTATTTTGATTATAATTTTTAAAATAATAACTTATAAATAATAAATGACATAGTATAAAATTATTTGATTATTATTTTCCTAAATTAATTAAAATAATGCTTGAAAAAGTATAACATATATTATTATTAAAATTATTACTTTTTAGTATAATTAATCAAATATAATGAATATTAATTTATAAAATTTTATTAGTATTTTGATTATTATTTTCCAGATAATTATTTATAAATAATAGAGACATAGTATAAAATCTTTTGATTATTATTTCCAAAAATTAATTAAAATAATGCTTGAAAAAGTATAACATATATTATTATTAAAATTATTACTTTTTAGTATAATTAATCAAATATAATGAATATTATTTTATAAAATTTTATTAGTATTTTGATTATAATTTTTCAAATAATAACTTATAAATAATAAATGACATAGTATAAAATTTTTGATTATTATTTTCCTAAATTAATTAAAATAATGCTTGAAAAAGTATAACATATATTATTATTAAAATTATTACTTTTTAGTATAATTAATCAAATATAATGAATATTAATTTATAAAATTTTATTAGTATTTTGATTATTATTTTCCAGATAATTATTTATAAATAATAGATGACATAGTATAAAATCTTTTGATTATTATTTCCAAAAATTAATTAAAATAATGCTTGAAAAAGTATAACATATATTATTATTAAAATTATTACTTTTTAGTATAATTAATCAAATATAATGAATATTAATTTATAAAATTTTATTAGTATTTTGATTATTATTTTCCAGATAATTATTTATAAATAATAGATGACATAGTATAAAATCTTTTGATTATTATTTTCCAAAATTAATTAAAATAATGCTTGAAAAAGTATAACATATATTATTATTAAAATTATTACTTTTTAGTATAATTAATCAAATATAATGAATATTAATTTATAAAATTTTATTAGTATTTTGATTATTATTTTCCAGATAATTACTTATAAATAATAGATGACATAGTATAAAATCTTTTGATTATTATTTCCAAAAATTAATTAAAATAATGCTTGAAAAAGTATAACATATATTATTATTAAAATTATTACTTTTTAGTATAATTAATCAAATATAATGAATATTAATTTATAAAATTTTATTAGTATTTTGATTATTATTTTCCAGATAATTACTTATAAATAATAGATGACAAAGTATAAATTATTTGATTATTATTTTCCAAAAATTAATTAAAATAATGCTTAGAAAAGTATAATATTATATTATTATTAAAATTATTACTTTTTAGTATAATTAATCAAATATAATGAATATTAATTTATAAAATTTTATTAGTATTTTGATTATTATTTTCCAGATTATTACTTATAAATAATAGATGACAAAATATAAATTATTTGATTATTTTTTCCCAAAAATTAATTAAAATAATCTTTAAAAAGTATAACATATATTATTATTAAAATTATTACTTTTTAGTATAATTAATCAAATATAATGAATGATAATTTATAAAATTTTATTAGTATTTTGATTATAATTTTTCAAATAATAACTTATAAATAATAAATGACATAGTATAAAATTATTTGATTATTATTTTCTAAAATTAATTAAAATAATGCTTGAAAAAGTATAACATATATTATTATTAAAATTATTACTTTTTAGTATAATTAATCAAATATAATGAATATTAATTTATAAAATTTTATTAGTATTTTGATTATAATTTTTCAAATAATAACTTATAAATAATAAATGACATAGTATAAAATTATTTGATTATTATTTTCTAAAATTAATTAAAATAATGCTTGAAAAAGTATAACATATATTATTATTAAAATTATTACTTTTTAGTATAATTAATCAAATATAATGAATATTATTTTATAAAATTTTATTAGTATTTTGATTATAATTTTTCAAATAATAACTTATAAATAATAAATGACATAGTATAAAATTATTTGATTATTATTTTCCTAAATTAATTAAAATAATGCTTGAAAAAGTATAACATATATTATTATTAAAATTATTACTTTTTAGTATAATTAATCAAATATAATGAATATTAATTTATAAAATTTTATTAGTATTTTGATTATAATTTTTCAAATAATAACTTATAAATAATAAATGACATAGTATAAAATTATTTGATTATTATTTTCCTAAATTAATTAAAATAATGCTTGAAAAAGTATAACATATATTATTATTAAAATTATTACTTTTTAGTATAATTAATCAAATATAATGAATATTAATTTATAAAATTTTATTAGTATTTTGATTATAATTTTTCAAATAATAACTTATAAATAATAAATGACATAGTATAAAATTATTTGATTATTATTTTCTAAAATTAATTAAAATAATGCTTGAAAAAGTATAACATATATTATTATTAAAATTATTACTTTTTAGTATAATTAATCAAATATAATGAATATTAATTTATAAAATTTTATTAGTATTTTGATTATTATTTTCCAGATAATTACTTATAAATAATAGCGACATAGTATAAAATTATTTGATTATTATTTTCTAAAATTAATTAAAATAATGCTTGAAAAATTATAACATATATTATTATTAAAATTATTACTTTTTAGTATAATTAATCAAATATAATGAATATTAATTTATAAAATTTTATTAGTATTTTGATTATAATTTTTCAAATAATAACTTATAAATAATAAATGACATAGTATAAAATTATTTGATTATTATTTTCCTAAATTAATTAAAATAATGCTTGAAAAAGTATAACATATATTATTATTAAAATTATTACTTTTTAGTATAATTAATCAAATATAATGAATATTAATTTATAAAATTTTATTAGTATTTTGATTATAATTTTTCAAATAATAACTTATAAATAATAAATGACATAGTATAAAATTATTTGATTATTATTTTCCAAAATTAATTAAAATAATGCTTGAAAAATTATAATATATATTATTATTAAAATTATTACTTTTTAGTATAATTAATCAAATATAATGAATATCAATTCATAAAATTTTATTATTATTTTGATTATAATTTTTCAAATAATAACTTATAAATAATAAATGACATAGTATAAAATTATTTGATTATTATTTTCCAAAATTAATTAAAATAATGCTTGAAAAAGTATAACATATATTATTATTAAAATTATTACTTTTTAGTATAATTAATCAAATATAATGAATATTAATTTATAAAATTTTATTATTATTTTGATTATAATTTTTCAAATAATAACTTATAAATAATAAATGACATAGTATAAAATTATTTGATTATTATTTTCCAAAATTAATTAAAATAATGCTTGAAAAAGTATAACATATATTATTATTAAAATTATTACATTATTATTTTCCAAACATTAATTAAAATAATAATTGAACAAATATAACATTATATTATTATTACAATTATTACTTTATAGTATAATTAATTAAAAATAATTATTCAAGATGTTATTATTTCACGATGTTAAATAGTAAATTTAAATATTATTTGTTAGAATCTATGCCATTTATAAATAATTATTTCTAGTTATTAGTTTTCTATAATTATTGTCGAATATAGTTTTAAACTATATATTATTTAGATTTATTTTTGTTTAGTCATTAATAAGCTTTTTGAAATATTATAATAAAATTACCGAGTTACTAATATGGTAGTTTTTTCCATGGTAATCAATTATAGAACGAATGTTGGCTTCATTTCTTATATTTTCCACTCTTCCTCCTGTATCGACTGCATACCCACATTTACTTGTACAGTGCATCAATTCACGCCTTTTTCTATCCACTATTAATTCGGCGTTTAATTCTTTCCCATACATTTCACTATATACAACACCTCCATCGGCGCCATCGCCGGTTATATGATAAATCTCCGTCGTAAATAATGATTGCTAAAATATTAAATTTAAATAATTTAATAATAAATTTGTGGGTTAAATTAATATAGTAATTAATTTAATAAATTAATTAATTTAATGATATTAAATTTAATAAAGTCTCGGGAAATTCAAATGAATTTCCCGAACTTATAACTAATTGATCAGTACACTCTTCTTATCGCGTTCGCTTTTTCGCTTTTATATTTATAATATTTAACATTTTATAAAAAGAATTAGTTGGCCTAACGTTAATTCTGAATGTGAAAATACCAAAAAATATTAATTCAAATATTTTATAATTTTACTAGAATAAATTTTAACTGACAAAATCAGAAATTTCATTTCACCTGACCTTGTCCTTACTTTTTTATACTACTGATATTAAAGAAATTTTTATTTTAATTACCGTAAATTTTGGCGAAAAAATATTGTCGACATATTCCGGCAATATTTTCAAAAATCTTTCAGAACCACAACTTTCTAATTTATACAAAGTGTAGTCCTGGCCAGTCTCAGCGTTAATTTCAGTCATAGCTTTAATCATTTAAAGGTGATTTTTTGATATCCTCCCAACACTCCTATTTGAGACTCAGATTAATTTTCCTTTTTTAATATCAATCACTTATATAAAAAGTTAGATTATATAAAAAGTTAGATCTTTTTTATTGACGCGGCTCATGTCCCATATTTGAAAGAAAAAATGACTTGCATTAAAAAGTAAACGATTATAAGTAAATAAATGAAATTAATCTAAGACGCAAATAGGGTCTCAATAAAAACAGTCTACTTACATATATTCGATGATATATCCAGTGATTTGCAAAAAATAAGATGCTCAACAGAATGAGCAACACCATCATTGCCAGTTGCTTCAGTTGCTGTTAATTTTTTAATAAAATCAATATAAAATACTGGTGATCAACATTTACGGTCGATGGCTAATTACACGGGACGGTGGTGTAAGGATTTTGATGCCAAATATAGATCAAAACAAATCAAATTTATATAATTGGAATTTTTTGATCATTTTATTATAAATAAATTTAAAAATAACGGACATAAAAGTCTTAAAGTTCCGAATCATTTATCCGGTGAACCACCGATCCCAAGATTAAACACCGTACCATAATAGAAACGTATAAAAACTCAATATTACGCAATTTTTGAAAAAATCTAAGGTTTAAAAGAAAAATTAACAATTAAGATATAGTTATTCATTTATAGTAATTCATATTTGCTAATCCTTAATCTTATTTAATGTAGAGCCCTTAGATTAGCAAAAACATAATAATCTTACCGAAAGCTATCGATCCTTTAATAAGCGGTCCGCCCACATTAGTAATCGCAATCCTCATACGAGAATTCTTTGATAAATATATAGTAGTTTTGTAATCGCCATAAATAGTGATTTCTTTCTTTAGATACCCTAAAAATATATTTGTTTATTAAGACAAAAATTGTTTATTAAGAAAAAGCCTTCTACTCAGAAAGGATAGTGTAGAATAGAGGTGAATAAAAAGGAATTAGAGTGATATCGATAGATTTGAGAAATAATAGTGAACAAACATTAAGAGAAGTACAGGAAGAAATGTTAATAAAGAAATTATTTCAAAGGCTAAGAAATTATTTCAAAGGCTAAGGGTGATAACGAAGAGATAACGAAGAGACGATGAAAAAGAAGTTTTGTAAAGCTCTTCCAAAAAATTTAAGAATTTTGCCTGAGGCGATGAAAAGGATGATTTTTATAAAACTCTTCCAAAAAATTTTAGAATTTTTGCCTGAGGAGATGAAAAGGATGATTTTTATAAAACTCTTCCGAAAAATTTCAGAATTTTTGCCTGAGGAGATGAAAAGGATGATTTTTATAAAACTCTTCCAAAAAATTTTAGAATTTTTGCCTGAGGCGTGAAAAGGATGATTTTTATAAAACTATTCCAAAAAATTTTAGAATTTTTGCCTGAGGCGATGAAAAGGATGATTTTTATAAAACTCTTCCAAAAAATATCAGAATTTTTGCCTGAGGCGATGAAAAGGTTGATTTTTATAAAACTCTTCCAAAAAATTTTAGAATTTTTGCCTGAGGAGATGAAAAGGATGATTTTTATAAAACTCTTCCAAAAAATTTCAGAATTTTTGCCTGAGGAGATGAAAAGGATGATTTTTATAAAACTCTTCCAAAAAATTTAAGAATTTTTGCCTGAGGCGATGAAAAGGATGATTTTTATAAAACTCTTCCAAAAAATTTTAGAATTTTTGCCTGAGGAGATGAAAAGGATGATTTTTATAAAACTCTTCCGAAAAATTTCAGAATTTTTGCCTGAGGAGATGAAAAGGATGATTTTTATAAAACTCTTCCAAAAAATTTTAGAATTTTTGCCTGAGGCGTGAAAAGGATGATTTTTATAAAACTATTCCAAAAAATTTTAGAATTTTTGCCTGAGGCGATGAAAAGGATGATTTTTATAAAACTCTTCCAAAAAATATCAGAATTTTTGCCTGAGGCGATGAAAAGGTTGATTTTTATAAAACTCTTCCAAAAAATTTTAGAATTTTTGCCTGAGGAGATGAAAAGGATGATTTTTATAAAACTCTTCCAAAAAATTTCAGAATTTTTGCCTGAGGAGATGAAAAGAATGATTTTTATAAAACTCTTCCAAAAAATTTCAGAATTTTTGCCTGAGGCGATGAAAAGGATGATTTTTATAAAACTCTTCCAAAAAATTTCAGAATTTTTGCCTGAGGCGATGAAAAGGATGGCTTTTATAAAACTCTTCCAAAAAATTTCAGAATTTTTGCCTGAGGCGATGAAAAGGATTATTTTTATAAAACTATTCCAAAAAATTTTAGAATTTTTGCCTGAGGCGATGAAAAGGATGATTATTATAAAACTCTTCCAAAAAATTTCAGAATTTTTGCCTGAGACGATGAAAAGGATGATTTTTATATAACTATTCCAAAAAATTTAAATTTTTGCCTGAGGCGATGAAAAGGATGATTTTTATAAAACTCTTCCAAAAAATTTTAGAATTTTTGCCTGAGGAGATGAAAAGGATAATTTTTATAAAACTCTTCCAAAAAATTTTAGAATTTTTGCCTGAGGAGATGAAAAGGATGATTTTTTGTAAAACTCTTCCAAAAAATTTCAGAATTTTTGCCTGAGGAGATGAAAAGGATGATTTTTATAAAACTCTTCCAAAAAATTTCAGAATTTTTGCCTGAGGAGATGAAAAGGATGATTTTTATAAAACTCATCCAAAAAATTTTAGAATTTTTGCCTGAGGAGATGAAAAGGATTATTTTTATAAAACTCTTCCAAAAAATTTTAGAATTTTTGCCTGAGGAGATGAAAAGGATGATTTTTATAAAACTCTTCCAAAAAATTTCAGAATTTTTGCCTGAGGAGATGAAAAGGATGATTTTTATAAAACTCTTCCAAAAAATTTTAGAATTTTTGCCTGAGGAGATGAAAAGGATGATTTTTATAAAACTCTTCCAAAAAATTTTAGAATTTTTGCCTGAGGAGATGAAAAGGATGATTTTTATAAAACTCTTCCAAAAAATTTCAGAATTTTTGCCTGAGGAGATGAAAAGGATGATTTTTATAAAACTCTTCCAAAAAATTTTAGAATTTTTGCCTGAGGAGATGAAAAGGATGATTTTTATAAAACTCTTCCAAAAAATTTCAGAATTTTTGCCTGAGGAGATGAAAAGGATGATTTTTATAAAACTCTTCCAAAAAATTTTAGAATTTTTGCCTGAGGAGATGAAAAGGATGATTTTTATAAAACTCTTCCAAAAAATTTCAGAATTTTTGCCTGAGGAGATGAAAAGGATGATTTTTATAAAACTCTTCCAAAAAATTTCAGAATTTTTGCCTGAGGAGATGAAAAGGATGATTTTTATAAAACTCTTCCAAAAAATTTTAGAATTTTTGCCTGAGGAGATGAAAAGGATGATTTTTATAAAACTCTTCCAAAAAATTTCAGAATTTTTGCCTGAGGAGATGAAAAGGATGATTTTTATAAAACTCTTCCAAAAAATTTTAGAATTTTTGCCTGAGGAGATGAAAAGGATGATTTTTATAAAACTCTTCCAAAAAATTTTAGAATTTTTGCCTGAGGAGATGAAAAGGATGATTTTTATAAAACTCTTCCAAAAAATTTCAGAATTTTTGCCTGAGGAGATGAAAAGGATGATTTTTATAAAACTCTTCCAAAAAATTTCAGAATTTTTGCCTGAGGAGATGAAAAGGATGATTTTTATAAAACTCTTCCAAAAAATTTCAGAATTTTTGCCTGAGGAGGATGATTTTTATAAAACTCTTCCAAAAATTTCAGAATTTTTGCCTGAGGAGATGAAAAGGATGATTTTTATAAAACTCTTCCAAAAAATTTCAGAATTTTTGCCTGAGGAGATGAAAAGGATGATTTTTATAAAACTCTTCCAAAAAATTTCAGAATTTTTGCCTGAGGAAATGAAAAGGATGATTTTTATAAAACTCTTCCAAAAATTTTAGAATTTTTGCCTGAGGAGATGAAAAGGATGATTTTTATAAAACTCTTCCAAAAAATTTCAGAATTTTTGCCTGAGGAGATGAAAAGGATGATTTTTATAAAACTCTTCCAAAAAATTTTAGAATTTTTGCCTGAGGAGATGAAAAGGATGATTTTTATAAAACTCTTCCAAAAAATTTTAGAATTTTTGCCTGAGGAGATGAAAAGGATGATTTTTATAAAACTCTTCCAAAAAATTTCAGAATTTTTGCCTGAGGAGATGAAAAGGATGATTTTTATAAAACTCTTCCAAAAAATTTTAGAATTTTTGCCTGAGGAGATGAAAAGGATGATTTTTATAAAACTCTTCCAAAAAATTTCAGAATTTTTGCCTGAGGAGATGAAAAGGATGATTTTTATAAAACTCTTCCAAAAAATTTTAGAATTTTTGCCTGAGGAGATGAAAAGGATGATTTTTATAAAACTCTTCCAAAAAATTTCAGAATTTTTGCCTGAGGAGATGAAAAGGATGATTTTTATAAAACTCTTCCAAAAAATTTCAGAATTTTTGCCTGAGGAGATGAAAAGGATGATTTTTATAAAACTCTTCCAAAAAATTTTAGAATTTTTGCCTGAGGAGATGAAAAGGATGATTTTTATAAAACTCTTCCAAAAAATTTCAGAATTTTTGCCTGAGGAGATGAAAAGGATGATTTTTATAAAACTCTTCCAAAAAATTTTAGAATTTTTGCCTGAGGAGATGAAAAGGATGATTTTTATAAAACTCTTCCAAAAAATTTTAGAATTTTTGCCTGAGGAGATGAAAAGGATGATTTTTATAAAACTCTTCCAAAAAATTTCAGAATTTTTGCCTGAGGAGATGAAAAGGATGATTTTTATAAAACTCTTCCAAAAAATTTTAGAATTTTTGCCTGAGGAGATGAAAAGGATGATTTTTATAAAACTCTTCCAAAAAATTTCAGAATTTTTGCCTGAGGAGATGAAAAGGATGATTTTTATAAAACTCATCCAAAAAATT